CTCACTTGGTACGGTTTCCTGTTTGCGTATAAGTACGCTAGACAACGCACGAACCGTGATGACAAGGAGGCCAAACAATTGCAGCCACTTTTCAAGATAGCTGAAATTCATCCTTTCTCTCCAGATTGGTACTTGTCGATCGGTCAGTCTAAGGGAGGAATTGAATGTAAGCAAGAACAAAGGGTCTAACATCCGTCGGTGTAACTAGGCAAAGTCACGAATTAAAGTCATTATTAACCGGATCGGGACACATAATCCAGGAAGCACACCCCATACTGTCAGATTTCGCTTCAGCGGAAGCTGATGTTTACGTGCTGCACAAGCGCTGGCAACCGCCATAAAGTGTGGCGGCGGTGGTCGCATTCTGATCTGGTTGTGAGTAATGATCTTGGCTGTATCCTGCTCAAATTCTCGCCTGACATTGACAAATTGGCAAGAACCAGGATGGTGGCGGGAGCGGGGGGGGAGGTTGCGGGAGGGTGGTCTGTGGGCAAAAACGGTTAGACCATCTTCCAAAGAAAGGCGTGTGTGCGTGCGGACACGGTGTGGACCAGTTCTAATGACCAGAGCACTCTACAGAATGAACACTGTTTACCACTGCGTTTCTGTCTTACAAAACTCGCGTTCGTTTGATCCGGTATGTTTTAATCAACAAACGCCACACACACACACGGATAGCAGTTTTTAGCAAGACAGACAGCTGGAGAATGTTAGACAGGCGAGTAAAAATAGCGTAAATTCAATCTGAATTATCAATCAAAGGGGAGGAATTCTTCCGTGGCTAAATACATTGTACTACAATGATCGCCAGTAAGGCGAAACTGTGAAGCTAAAAATTAAGTTTTTGTGAATTGTTTTCCTCGAACGGTGAAACATGTGTTCAATTATGTAGTTTTCTATGCAAGGATTTATTGATCAATGGTGGTGTCAAGAGGTTTGGCAAGTTCCAAGTGAGATTCCTCTCTGTGATTGAGGACAATCTATGAGAAAAGGCCGGCAAGTGTTGTGCAGCTGCTTCGCCCTTGTTGGGACTCCCAAGCGGTGCGCGTCTCACGAAACACAAACCATAAGAGGAAACTACTCACAAGGTTGCTGAAAACTCTTCGACAGCCCACGACCGGTTTCGCCCTT